TTTCTAATGATTTACAACTTGAAGAAACCAATAGAGTGAGTAATTTGTACTCCTTTAAAATAACTCCAACTGCTTCTAGGATACTCAAAGTAGTCTTTGCATTGGACAGAAGAGTTAGCCTCACATCAAACAATGTACCTACGACCAGTTAAAACTAGTATTTGCTCTTGTATTGCAAATAGGGTCAGGATGGTTTAGTCTGGCTCCCTCACTTCCTATCTTATCATGTTTGAAGCCACAGGGAAAACAACTTATGTCATTAGTTGTACTGTGCTTGCATGCTTATTATGTAATTATGAATTTGTTGTTTTACACCACTGAATGTAATGTGCAAGTGTGTGTGCAATAGTTTGGTTTTCACAGTGAGCCAGTATTGTCGACAGCCCCTTTAAGAGAAAGGGGACACCTGGTCAGTTAGCCCTGCACTGCGCTGCTGCTGCCATGCTCTGCCCTGCTCTGCCCTTCTCAGCTCATCCTTGGTTCAGGCTGGTGAGCCCTCATAGCCTTGGCTTGGCTCAGCCTTGGTTTGGTTCAGTTCAGCTCTGCGTGCTGTGCACTCCGAGTGGGAGGAGTTCTCAATGTGAGCATTCTCCACAGGCATGACTAGCTCCAAGAGGGAGAAGGCACTGCGAGTGCTGCTATGGGCTTTGCAAGCCTGCTAAGAGCTCTCTGTGAGCTCCCACTAAACTCAGCTAATAAACAACATGACATCAGTGCCTCTCATCTTTTCGCATCTCCCCATGTGTCTGTTTAATTCACGCTTTAGAGGAGAAAAGAACCTTGCAAAACAACTCAAAACAACTCTATATGTTGTTTTCCTCTTGAAAATGCTATTTCCTGATATCCCAGAATTGTAGATAAGGCCTAGCACCCCAACCCTATGGCTTTCAACCTCCAAAAGAAAAACAGATCAGTTTTACTTAGGGCCAAGTTCTGAGAGCCTTGCAAAATCTATTCCACTATATCTTTTATTTCTCTACTCTTTATCTTTCTTTTCACCATTATTTGCATGTATATATTGTGTGCGATAACTAGACACATTTAGAAAAACTCTTGGCCTGGAAGCCGTGACAAGCCACGCTGTAAGTACAGTTGGCAGCATGTATTCCCAATTCAACACAAAGGAACATGTGAACTCTTTGTACCTGACACTTTACACAATATGCTCCCCGGCTTTAAGAAAACATTATTTCACGTTCTTACTCTAATCAGTCTTGTCTGCCAGCCTCGAGAACTGAGAGGTTCATTGTTATATGCAGCTGTCATTTGTTCCATCTCCTGGATCTCTCTGCCTTCAATATCTTTGTGGTATTTAGTGAAAGTAATTTTCAGTTGGAAATCTTCTGCCCTTTCAGTAAGTGCAAGTATAGCACTTCATCAATGGCCAAAGAATTCTGAGCTATCTGGGATGTATCAGGACAGTTGATAAAACCTCATGGAGCAACCTATGATAGTACATCCCATCATAAATTAAAAAAAAAAAAAGCAGAAAAGGCCTTTGTCAGTGTTTATCTGAAGCGCTTTTATTCTTTGCCCTTGATTTCCTCTTCAGAAAATTGATGCGCCCTTAAATTGAAGCAAGAGGCTTGACAGGTGATGGTTAGTGTGATAACTGCTCAGATTTCATCAGCCAGTGTTTTTCTGGTGGTGCAATTGTCGGAACTTTCAGCTAGATTACCTGTCATCCACTACATCAGATAAAAGAAGCAGGCTTGAAAGATGCAGTTTTGCCGCGGTACCTTATAGGAAATGAAAAGTGCAGGTGTAGTAACAGTAGCAAGGAAGAAGTGCAATTATTTTCTAATCAGGCTGTTACTTTGAGAAACTTGGTGCCTACATTGTCAGCCATTGGGCAAAACTGCTGTTAAATTTGCATGGTTAAATTTAGAGAGAGAAATGAACAGTCAGTCTCATTGTAGTGCTATAAACTCACCTTTCTCGATCCATTTTACTCATTCCACAAATTGAAATAGTTGAAATTTATTTTTAGACACAAGGGAAATATTCCTATTTTGGATACATTTCAATATTCTGAGGTTAAGTCTATATTTTGATCTGTTGTTAAGCTGTTTGAAACCATGAGGGGCGGTATTATTTTACAGAAAGTTTCACAGAAAAACTTCTGTTAAGAAAGATTGGAAATAGCACATTGGGGGGAAATTGTGCTATGTTAGAATAAATCTAGTAGAGAAGGCTCTGTATGAATACACTTAAATTTTTTCTTGTGTGTGAGATGATGTTGTGCACTGATCTCCTAAACTTCCTAGTAAAAAAGAATGATCTGTTCTGTCCTTTTCAATCAATCGCTTCTTCAGAATAAAAGTGGGTATTTGAATATAGCTGTCACGGGACAGATGGGAACAGGAAAAGGAGTGCCTTACTTCTGATAGGATGGTAGAGAGCTATCCATTCTGCTAACCACAGTAGATAAGGCCCTAGAATTCCCACTAGAAAAGACTTCTTTTCCGTTTTCTGCAGTTGCTCGTGATCATTTATTTTAGCTTAACATCTAAATCTGGCTCTCATTCAAAGAACAATTGTTCGTTATTAGGAAAAATAATGATTTTCCATAATAGTCACATACATATTTAGATACCCTCTTTTCAATTTAATTACACCTATTTGTCAGGGTAGCTGTTACAGAATATCTTTATCATGAGGTAGGTGGAACCCCCTATTCAGGCTAGTTCAGTATATTTGGGTCTTTAGTAAACATCGATCCTTGCCTGTTTTGCCTTTTCATTTGGATGTGGTTTGCATTTGGGTCTTACTTAGAGAGAGTGTGTGCATCAAACCTGAAACATTGTTTACCCCAAGGGAAATAGTTGGGGGGGGAGAGAAAAGCGTATCCTTTACTTTTTCTTACACACTTCTGAATCGTTGGGCTTGAATTATCTTTGAAACAATAGAAAGGTTTAAAATGATAAGAATTGGTGTGCTAGGTTTAAATCCTGACTCCTCTACTTTCTAGCTGTGCAATTTGAAGCCAGTAATTTTTTTCTCAAAGCCTCAGTTTTCTCACCTGCAAAAGAGGCAATAATATTACTCTGTTTATAGAATTTTTGCAAGGGTTATGTTGTATAGTTATGGGAAGGACTGAGCACATAGAAAGTAAAATATAAATACCAACTTTTTTGAATAAGGATGTTTCTATGTCTATCACTAACTAAATGCAGAAAGTATTTTTATTTATTTATTTATTTATTTGGCCAAAGATTGGGTATACAAGCCAGAGAGAGACAGAGAAGACAGAGAGATAGAGAGAGAGAGGAAGCCCCCCCCCCCCCGCTGGGGGGGGGTCTTTCGAGAAAAGAGAGGAACCCCCCCCCCCCGAGTGGGGTGTGGTCATTCCACAATCCCCTCTCCTTCGTTTCTCTACCCTGTCAGGATTTTGGTCATGCATGCACATGTACCTGGCAGGTTTTTCTAGCAACCAGGACTAGGATCTGGATTCTTTAACCATTAGGCCAGGGGCTGGCCCTTTTTATTTTTATTTTGTTTTTAACTGCCAGAGGGTGCTTGAGTTCAGCAGAAAGAGACAGAGAGACATAGGGAGAGAGAGAGGGAGAAACCACCCTCTGATGGGATCATTGTCACACCACAATCCCTTCTCCATCTTGTTGAGATTCTGAGCATGTACACACAAACACACATTTGACTTTTTTTTTTTTAAAGAGAGATTTTGCTATAGGGTGTGCACACTCCCCTGAGAGACAGAAAGCGAGAAATCACTCCCTAGGGGGGTGAGTATGCTGCAATCCCTTCTTCTCTATTCTCTCGGAATTTTGAGCATGCATACACACACACCCGGCACACCCAGCGTGAGCTTTAAGCTGCCAAGTCTGGGACTTGAACTACATAGGGGTCCAGTGATGTAACCATCATGCCATCTGCTGGTCCCTCATCTGGCTTTTTTTTTTTTTTTTGGAGAGTTTTTTTACTATGGGGTGCATGCACTCGACAGAAAGACAGAGAGACAGAAAGCAAGAAACCACCCCCCCCCCCCGGGGAGATGGCCACACCGCAATCCTTTCTTCTCCATTCTCCTCTCAGGATCTTGGGCCCACATGCACACGCACCCAGCATGAGTTTAAGCCACTGCGTATGGGACTTGCACTGTGATCAACTACATGGGAGTCCAATGACATAGCCATTACGACATCTGCTAGTGCCCATCTGGCATGTTTTTAAAGCTGCTGGGGATGGGACTTGAACCATGGTTAGCAATGTGGGATCTGGCTTCCTTAACCATCAGGCTATGGGACTGACTCCAAAATGTATTTCTTGAATAAAATGTTTGGACTTTTCTAAGCCTGTTTGCTTCCCCTTATAAGATGGGTAGATTAGAAGTGATGGTATCTCAAGGTCTTTTCTATTTATAACATTTTGTGATTCCATTCAAAATATAGTTGGAGAGATGTGTATATTTTGACTTCATGAAAAAAGACTGAAGTTATGATTTTGGACTCCATATATATCCACATCACAATCACTAGTTTGAGTCTTATGTCCAGTAATAATGTGAAACAATAGTTGAGAGATTGGAAGGACCTTTAGTATATACTTCCCCATGTGAAATTTCCGCTTCCACCCATGAATAGCTTGCTATCTCTTCACTTAGCCAAGATCCCTACCTTCATGTCTTTAAAACATGAAGCCTCTAACCATTTAAAAAATCTAATGTGCACTCTCCACTCTACTAAATCTTGCCTGACATAGAGAAATCCTTCTCTGGGGCTGGCAGGTGGTGTGGTAGTTAAGGGCACTAGACTCCCACATGGTTGACTGTAGTTCGAGTCCTGGACTTGGTGGCTTGCTTTTTCATTTTCCCTTTCTCTCTCTTCGTGGTAAAATTTTAATTAATTAATTAATTAATTAAAATAAAATAAGTTAATCCCACTTCTGAGCTTGTCAGGTGAGCTGGGTCAACCTCTCATTAAAGTTCACACAGGTGCTACTCAACTCAATGATACTGCCTTTGCAGTTAGGGAAGCAACTACTGACTCATAAATGAAAAGAACTGTACTCCCTGCGTAACAAGAGATTATTTTGGAGACAGTTGATAAAAATCATACATCCTTTTTATTGTTAAGTCATAAAAAGGTATCAAAATTAAAAGCAAAATTACAGGGTAAGACTTAACAAAACTACTAGGAGCATCAAAAGAAGTGAAATGGGCCCAGGCGCAGGGCAGTATGAATGAATGGACATGGGAAGGACAAAGATGGGGAGAACAGTGAGCACATGCTGAAGATACTAGGGAGAGGATCTGGGGAAAATTTTGATCTTAGACAAGCGCCTAGGTAAAGAAATAATGGGTGAGATTTCTAAACCCCACTATGTGCTTAAGAGTCATCCTCGCCATTGGCGCTGTCTCTGTCATCCTCTCCTTCCTCAGCCTCTTTTTCATCATCCTTGATCAACTCCAGCTGTTTGTTTGCTCTGCTCCTTTTTGATTTTTTCCAGGTTTTCCAGAAGGGAATCCACTTTTTGTTTTACCTGGGTCAACTCCTTCTTACTGGCCTGAATGTCATCTCCTTTCAACTTTCCAGACTTGGATGACGATCCTCGCTGAGTAGAGGGGACGGAGAAGGGTGTTCTGGTACTGACCCGTACATCTCCGCTGCAGATCGTTTCACACCTGCTTTTCCTCGGTTCACTTTTGGCTCTGCAGCCAGATTAATATCTAAAACCTGGCCAGCAATCATCCTGCCATCCTCTCCTGCCACAGTAGCCCGGGCATTCCTCTCATTAACATACTGAACGAAGGCAAAGCCCTTATGAACAGAGCAACCCACAATTTTGCCATCCTTCAAGAAGATTGCTTCCACATCAGACTCCTTGACCACAAGAGTGTTGAGATTCCCAGTGAATACACGGGAGTTCATGGAGCGAGGATCCGTCTTGTTGGTAACATTGCTGGCCATTGGGATTGATGGTAAGATTCCTCACAAAGCCTAAAAGTGTAGCTGAAGATCAAAAATATCTCACAAGAAGGTGAGAGAAAAGAGATTCAATTCTGAATCTCTCGCTCCCAAGTTCTAGGCAAAGAAACCGACTGCAGCTGGAGGTAGGAAATGCGGCCACAACCGCTCCATCTCCAACTCTTCACAAAATGGCCCCCCAAAAGCTAGTATTATTGTAACGACAGTTGTAAACCCAATTTCTGTTTTCTTTATAATTTAAGAGATGAAAATTATTAATCTGAAAGTTAGTACTACTGTAACTTTGGTTTATAATCTCTGTTTACTTTCCTATATAATTTAAGAGACATTTATATTTACATTTAAAATAATTATTCATTTATATTTTGGGGCACACAATGTATAAAGAAGTAATTTTATGTCCAAAACCAAAAGAGGTAAAGATAAAATTATAAAAGAGCAGAGTTTGTATAGGTTGTTGAAGTTTAGTTGTATAGATTACAATTAGAATATTATAACTTTAGGATGTTAAATGTAATTCCCATAGTAACCATAAAGAATATAGCTATAGAATACACACAAAAGGAAATGAGAAAAGGAATTTAAACATTTCAATATAAAAAAAATCAACTAAACACAAAAGACAGTAAGGCAGGAAAAACGAGGGACAAAAAAGAGCAGTATGGCACATAGAAAACATATAGCAAAATTACTGAAGCAGGTCTCTCCCTGTCAGTAATTATTTCAAATGTGAACAAATTAAACTCTCTAGTCAAAAGACAAAGATTGGCAGAACGAATAAAAACACATGATCCAACTATAGGCTCTCACTTTAGATTCAAAGACACAGTAGATCGAAAGTGAAAGAATGGAAAAAGATATTTCAAAAAATAATAACAGTAACTAAAGAAAATAGGATTATACTAATGTCAGAAAAGTGGACAAAGGCATGGATAGACATTTTTCCAAAGAAGTTATACAAATGGACAATAAGCCCATGACAAGATGCCTAATATCACTAATTGTTAGGGAAATACAAATCAAAACTACAATGAAACACCACCTTATATCCATTAAAATGGCTAGTATTAATAATAAAAAACAATCGGAACCCTCTTGGGTGGGAATGTACAATGATACAGCCATTGTGGAAAACAGTATGATGATTCTTCAAAATTAAACATAGAATTACCATATGATCCTGCAATTCCACTTCTGGAAATAAACTCAAAGATTTGAAAGCAAGACCTGAACAAGTTATTTATGCAGACGTGTTCATAGCAGTATTACTCATAATAGCTAAAACGTAAGAGCATGTCAGGTGTCTATCCACAGATGAATGGATAAACCAAATGTAGAATGGTGGTTACCAGGGGCTGGGGAATGGAGAGGAATGGGGAGTTATTATTTAATGGGTATAGAGTTTCAGTGTTATAATGCAAAAAGAGTTATGGAGATGGACGGTGGGGATGGTTGTACAACATTATATATTTAATAACACTGAACTGTACATTTTTAAGATGGTAAAGATGATAAATTTTGTTCTGTGTCTTTCACCATGATTAAACAGTTGGAGAAAAGAGAAAGTGAAATAGCTGTTGTAGTACCCAAATGAGAGCAAGCTGTAGCTAAACGGAGAAAGTAGAAGTGGGTACTGACAAAGCGAATGGATTCAAGAATATTTAGACATGGGAACCAGCAGTTAGCGTAATGGCTATGTCACTGGACTCCCACGTAGTCGACCGTGGTTTGCGTCCCAGACCCGGTGGCTTAAATCTCACGCCGAGCGCGTGTGCGTGCGTGCCCAAGATCCCGAGAGGAGAATGGAGAAGGGATTGCGGCGTGGCCATCCCCACGGGGGGTGATTTCTCACTTTCTGTCTCTATGTCTCTCTCTGTCTGGCGAGCGCAAGCGCCCTATAGTGAAAAAAACCTCTAAAAAAAGAAAAAAAAGAATATTTAGACATGAACATTGGTAGCCCATTTAGGTAGGCATGGATGAAAAGAGAAGTCTAGGTTAACACCAGATTTATGGCTGGGAAAACTGACAAGAAGAACGTGCCAGTCTCTGGACTGGCCATGTAAATCATGTCATAGGCCTTTCTTTTTCTTTTTTTCTTTCTTTTTTTTGGAGAGGTTTTCGCTATAGGTCGTGTGCGCTCGCCAGACAGACAAGAGAGACAGAAAGTGAGAAATCACCCCCCAGGGAGAATGGCCGCACCACAATCTCTTCTCCTCCATTCACCTCGGGATCTTGGGCAGGCACGCACACGCGCCCAGCATGCGTTTTAAGCCACCAGGTCTGCTACTAGAACCGCAGTTGACTATATGGGAGTCCAGCAACATAGCCATTACGTTAACTGCTGGTCCCAAAGTGAGAAATCATTCCCCAGGGGGGATGGCCACGTGGCAATCCCTTCTCCTCCATTCTCCTCTCGGGATCTTGGGCACGCACGCACACACGCCCGGCGTGAGTTGAAGCCACTGGGTCCGGGACTCGAACTGCAGTCAGCTACATGGGAGTTCAGCGACATAGCCATTACTCCAACTGCTGGCAATTTAGCACTGTCTTTCAAACCAACTAATGCTTATGTCCTTTGACATAGCAAACCTACTTCTAGAAATGTTTTTCACTTGTATACATGCAAAGTCACATGTTTAGGGTTATTTACTGCAGCATCACTTTTCTTTTTTATGCTCTCTTTTCCTTTAAATTTTATTTGTTTCCTCCATGAGAGGAAGAAAGAGAGAGTGAGAGTCACCCCCAGAAAGGTTTTTACACCACAGTCTACCCCCAACCGCAGCCGGCCAAGATCGTGGAGATCCCCCTGCCCTGGGTGTACAGGGAGACCTCAGAACTTGAACCCAGGACCCTTCCATGTGGCTATAGTATCCCAGAGCATTGCATTACTGCTGTGCCACCATGGCTGGCCACTGCAGCATTTGTCATAGCAAAAGTTTTGGCATCAATTCAGATATCCACCAACAGTGAACTGGTTAAATTAATGATGGTATCTCTATGTAATAGAATAACATGTAATGAGATTTTTAAAAATTGAGCCATCTCACTGTGTATCAGCATGGCTGAAAATCTGAGGTTTGTGGAGTGACAAAAAGCATTGCGCTGCACAGTAGGAATACTGTGCTACCTTTTGTTCATGAAAGAAACTGTAAATACATTATCTATATAAAGAAACCCTGGAATTATACAAAAAAACAGTAAAAATTGTACTCTGAGAGATGCGAGAAGAGACAAATGAGTACAGTGGTAGAGCAAGTGCTTTTACAACACATGTTTTCATATTTTTTGCTTTTTCAATGATGATATGTATTAGCCATCCAAGAGCTTTTTTTTTTTTTTTAAGAGTAATTTTTATTATAGGGCGTGTGCACTCACCAGAGAGCCAGGAAGTGAGAAACTACCCCCCCATGGGGATTGCCACACCACAGTCCTTTCCCCATTCTCCTCTTGGGATTTTGGGCATGCAGACTCATGTGCCCGGAGTGAGTTTTAAGTCGCTGGGTCTGGGACTTGAACCGTGGTCGCCTTTGTGGAAGTTCAATGATGTAACCATTATGCCATCTGCTGTCCCCAAAGAGGTTTTTTTTTTTTTTTTATTGAACTAAAGGATCTGCGTTTATCTTTGCAATACTTCACTGATTAACCACTTGTTAATTCAAGCAGTGGGGTTTTGCCTTTTTTTGTTGTAGTTTTTCCTTTGCCAGTGGTTTATTGCAAGATCGGGTCCAAGAGTAAAATCACTAAGTAGTCCTCACCCATAGCCTTTTCCATCTACAGGAGAGACTTGGAAATCACAGAAGGAATGGTGTTTCTTTACGTGCTCTCTGCTTATGGTCAAACCTTTCATGTAGCCTGATACCTGCCGGGGGTTGAGGGAAATTTCCAGGACATAAAAATGATTAAGCTCTCATTCTGGGTCAATATACTGTTTTTCAAAAATGGAATTAAGTATTTCTAGAAGACAGACAGAAAAATAACATGTTAAGTAGTTTAAAAAGGGGAAATGAGGTGGGAGAATGAGATGCCAAAATCAGTCCCTGCATGCAAAGGGCCAGATAGACAGATGGAGGGAAGTCCAGGGAAACTGCCCCCCACTGAAGGGCGGTCTGAGAAGGGAAGGGAAGGTGGGAAGTTCCTCGGGAAAATGTGAATGGCAAGGAGCTGCTCGACCTGATTCAACTGAAGGTCATGACTGAGAAATAGCCCAGAGATCCCGAAGAGAGAAAACTGAAGCATTAGAGTCGCAGTATTGGGCTCTCGTTTTATACGCAAGGAAGCCAAGACCCACACTTGACAGTAAGAGGCAGCACACAGAAATCGTGCCGGAGACTTCTAGCCTAGTGTAGTGCTTTGTTTCCTTTTTATTTGATTGTTTATTTTCAGTGTCTCTTGCTAATGCACCATTTAGTTTGGTTTGGAGGCTCTATTTTTTTTTTTTTTTTTTTTAGTTTTTGCTATAGATTGCATGGGCTGGCCAGAAAGAAACGGATGGGTGTGTCCTTGCCAGAGAGACACAGAGGGGGAGTGAGAAATCACCCTCTGGGGATATGGCCATGCTGCAGTCCCTTTTCCCTCAGTCTCCTCTTGGGATTTTGGGCATGCATGCACATACACTTGGAGTGACTTTTAAGCTCCAGGTCTGGAACTCAAACTGCACAGTGGCCCATGTGGGATCTAGCGCTTCAACATGCATGCTACCTGCCGGCCCCAGAGGTTATCTTTTTAATGTGACTAATCACTGTTGACTCTTCCAAGAAAATAGTAGGAGATTTCGAAAGAGGAGAGAGAGAGAGAGATATTAAGTCTTACAAACAAAAATGTAAATAATAGCAAGTAGCAGACATACATACGAAACAAATGAAAAGATGATCTGTGCTGGGAGTGGACCCAGCAAAACTTGCTCTGAGCAGGTCACAAGTCGCAAGTTGATCCAGCAAAACTTGTTCTGTGAAGGTCACAAGTCGTAAGACCATGCTCTGCAT